AAAGAGGTTGAACTGTAGTACAGTGTAGTTGACTGCAGCTACCCTTTCAAGAGGTTGGACTGTAGTACAGTGTAGTTGATTGCAGCTAGATATGCAAAGTAGATAATAGCACATCTTTAAAAAAATAATAACATTCTAACAATATAATGACAGTACATGTTTAGCCGTCACGATAAAATTTACCTAATCAATATTTTTCCAGGCACTTGTGCATGTAACTGGGGGAGTCGTCATAAAATTCTTACTTTTTTTGTTTTACGTTAACAAAATTAATGTGACTACTCATTTACAAGGTGGAAATCAGACCTATTAAGAAATCTTCCAGTGACCGCCGATATGACATACATGTAGTTTGTAATTAAATGTTGAAGTAAATTTGAAACTGACCCGCCCCCCAAAGAAGTCTAATTTGGGGACGAAAAAGGATGATTTAAATGGATCCTTGTGTCATGCCATTTAGATGTGTGCCCTATTTATTAGACCACTGAACATAGTTTAAATTTTGTGGGAATTTAATGACCTATTATAGGCTTACTTGCCCATGCATCAAAGAGGGCGCTGTCTACTTGTAGCCGACTAAATACCTTTAGTTAAATTTGGCGACAACTAAACATCCACTGTCGTACATAGAATGTCCTGAAATACTCTTGCTTTCTTTCTTGTTCCTGTAGGTAAAAACATCGGCGATGCTGAAGCAGTTCCTGTCTGCTGTGGTATTATGTGGGATTTCCCTTAACAATCCTAGGAAACACAAGCAGCGGGCTACAACACTCAAAGATTAGTGCAAGCAAAATAGTGTACAGATTACCTTGAGATGGAAAACATGGTTTAAGGCTTTTGCCTTATTTGGAACAGTTTTAGGCTTTTTGGAACAGGGAACAGAGGTTTCTTGTTAAAGATGCACAACTTCTTTTTATACAAAACCCCATATTACACCCCTGCTATTACGGGTGTATTGTTGTCTCTAGAGAAAGCATACTGTAAGTAACTATCTGAGTAAATTAAAATTACAAAGTTATAGACAAGATGTGCACTCAAGTGTAGAAATTTCAAAAATATCCATCATATTGTTCATGCTTGTGCAAAGTAAACTGTGATATCAGAACCTTAAATTATTGAGGAAACTAGAAAAATTAAATTATGTTGTACCTTTTTACTGCTTTTCATTTTATTTCTAAATTTTTGAGATTTTATGCATAGCTTTTGTCAGATTGTAGAAGCTTCTTATTCAAAACAAGCAGGTATCTGTAATGTGGCTAATGCCCAACATACTCCCAGAAAGTTTATAGGAAGATAGAGGCTTACTATCAACCTTTCTTATAAATGTCCTAAAAAGTTCAAACTTTGAAGAATCTTAAATATAGAAAGGCTTGCAAATATTTTGGAAACATAACATACTGAAGTACATGCAAGGTCTGAATATTTTGTCTAATCCTTGTCTTTTGGCATATTCAAATTTTTACTTTTGTTATTTAAATATATGCAGATAAGCTGTGCCCTCTGACCTTTTTTGAAATTGCGCAATCCTAACCTTTAAATATAAGTTCCGAAATCATATCTATCAAGAGGCAATTGGCCTGGTGGTTAGGTAGCTGGCTGCCAGGCCAGGGGATCCCGGTTCAAATCCCGGGGTCCCTGGAAAAGGAGGTTTTTTTTTTTTTTTTTTTAATATACTAAGTTTTTTAACAAAATTG